CTCATTTATATTAGTATTCAGTTACTCATTGGTTAAGATATTGGACAACCTCTGTTGCATTGACGTTTACTATTATCTTTAACAGATAAGCTACCATTAAGGGAGCTGCAACTGTAATAAAATATTTACAGCTGGCACTGATTAAAGCATTTGCACCTGTCTACCCGCTTATTCAGTTAGCCTATTATTCTTGTAAATATGAAAAAAATCAGTTCATAAACAGTTCTTTGGGAAGTTTGTTAACAGTGTCGCCTGTACCGAGTACAGGTATGTTTGGATTTATTACTCTTTTTTTTGAATAAGCTCGCTTTAGCGTAAACAAGTTATATCACCCATTTAAGTTTTAAATAAATGATGTATAGTCTGTTGCTATAAATTATCTTTGATAAATCTGATTTTTTTATTGCTACTCACCTCCCATATAAAGTCATGCATTATGAAGTTTTATAATAGTTTTTGCCATGTTATGTCGTTGTAGTTTTATCACTTATTGGTTATGAAGTATTATATTCTATACTTTACATTATACTTTACACATGGGGCGAAAAATTTAATAAATTCTACACAAATTCAAGAAAATCGTAAGTTACGAACACTTTTGTTGTTATGATATCGTAATCATAGGGTTATCAATTGAGCCTAATGGAACAGTTGATGAAGCTGTGAAAGTTGAACGGTTATGGTATCCAGATGGACGTTTTCTGGAAAGGGAAGATGTAGACGGGAGTAGTACGTTCAGTTGTGGGTAGGAGATTTTTTGTTTTAATATTTTCCAGTTTTTTTCACATTATTTCAAAAATATAAAGGATTTTTATTCATACTACCAGGATGTATGAAATTAATGTTTTACAGAAAATGCTAGCATGTTAGTGTTAACGTATTATATGGTTCCAGGAAGAAAGCTTTACCAATAAATGCTCTTCTCATTGATGGTATATGTCAGCAAATTTTACGGCTGAAACTTTCCGAAAGCCATATGGTTTTGTATAAAATTATGTTGTTTTTCAATCCGGGTTAGTATTTTTCTGTATCATTTTATTTGTACTGTTATTTTCCAGCGAAAACGGTTTTTATAAAAATATAACTGTTGTTTTTCTTCCAAAAGAACATCAAAAATATGTGTGAAATTTGCAAATAAGTTCGTATGTATTTTTCTTCAAGTAATAATAAGATGTGGTAATTGAGAAAATAATTTTTAAGTTTCCCATGGGATGTTTGCAGATGCTGACGGGCTCTCTGTAAGAGGAAGGGCAACTGTAGGAATGGAAAGGACAAAACTTTTGAATTATCTGTACGCCCAAATCATACGTGATCGTATAGGGCGACAAGCCACCGAGCTTTATTCTAATATGCTCATGATGACATCTACTCTTATCGTTAGTTTTCTTTTCTGGAATTTAAATTATGCGACGTTATATTGAATGTGATTTCAAGTTTTGTTTCTTATGCTAACGTACATTAGTTATAGTTTATCTTTTGATCGTGTTTTACATTGTACACTGGAAGTGCATCTCTAGAAAAATATCTGAAAAAAAGACAAAAATAAAAAAGAAACAGTTATAAAATCATGCATAATTGAAACAAGAAAGCGTCCTAAAAGATGTTCAAAAAAGCCAACATTTTTTTTTTTTTGATCAACTGCAAAATTTGATCTGATTTTCAGTGCTTTTTATTCTGAAGATTCCCTAAAGATTAACTTTAGTCTGATCTCTGCGACATTAAATTTTGTATTAGCAAACTTCACATGAATTCATGTCACACGACATTCATGTAGATTTTATTTTTCAACTTAGTTTTAAATCTTGAAATTTAAACTTATAAGGAGTTTTAATCTGCAACAATTCACGATAACTGTAAATTGCAGCGTGTTGCCTCATATTTGAAGCGCACCTTCGACATATCGCACATATTTGGTCCTGCAGATGATTTGATTGATCAGTTGATTATTGTTGGCTTATGATTATGTTCTTGTAAAGGAAATATCCTTTATGTTTTTGTATCGTTGGTTTCTTGAAAAATAGGTCACTTTAGCTATATTTTTGGTGCCAATACTCACACTATTGACTTTAAAATGAATTTGCTTGCTTAACTCAGGTTTAGTTGAAAAAAAGAAGGAAAACTATTAAAGTTTAGAAAACAGATTTTTTGCCCCATTTCCGTCTAATGTTGAATATAGTAGTTCCTGAATCGAAGTGGATTTTCCCTTTCTTTAGCGTTATACTTCTTTTTTATTATGTGAAATACTTCCAGAAAATCGTAGTTTTTTTTTGACATTTATTTTAATTTCATATTTCCTCATAAACATAGAACGGAACATATTGAGAATCAAACGGGTTTCTGAACTGTGTTCTGTGTATGTCCTCAACTCAGGTTGTTAAATTTAGACAATTATCTATTACTGGTATTATTCCTTGTATTATTGCTTCAGTAACCATTACAACAGCGAAAACCAATAACTGGCGCTACCACGAATACTTTTGTTACTATATTTTTACTACCACTGTTGCTACTACTGCTACTATTACTACTATTACTACTACTACTACTATTGCTATTGATGATTGTTATAGCTGTACTTCTTTCAACTGAATAGTATAATAGTTTGTTTAATTATCTCTGCAGTTAGATGTTACCACTAATAGGATAATGAAATAACGCCAGAAAAGCACAAGTATTAGTTCCGTACTTTGCTCTCACTATTAGCGAGATGATAATAGTCGTAGGAAATTATTCCGCAGGAGTTTTTTCTATACTTCATCTACGGATTTATTTTCGTTTTAGGATGTTTTCGAAAAGTTTCTTAATACAGGAAAGATTATAGGGAATATATGGTTTTAAGCTGACACATTAAAATTTCATTTTTTCTTTTTTTCATTTCAAGGTTTTTACCATTTCCAGGGATACATTTTCCCTTTTCTTTTCTTTTCAACCAAGTTTTATATTATTTCGAAAGTGAAGATTGTTTATTGTCGTTATTTTAATTGATTGTCTTCGTCACATATATTTCATTTTTTATTAGCGTTTGTTTTTTCTTCCCGGTATTCCCGGTCAAATTCAGATTTACTTAGTGTCATGAAATTCAAGAAGGTATACTTAGTTATGTGGTGTAATTAGTAACTACCTTTGATATACAAATTTTACGAGAACTCCAAGATAAGCTTTTCAAATTCATGATTACTTCAAAATATTTTAAGAGAAAAAAGAAAAAAAAAACCTCTGCAATGTCCTTTCTTTTTTTCCGTTGCTTGCTTAAAAATCTTGAAATCCGATGATCACTTAAAAGGTCGTAACATCAGAATAACTATAAAATATTCTATATTTTTTCTCATTATTTTATTACTTCTCGTTCGAGTTATTACTTTTGTCTTGATTTTCGAAATTGACAAATCCCCGCTCGCGTGTCTCAAATTTCCCTGTAAATTTTCAATGTCTACTAGTCTTTGAATGGGAACTTCTAGAAATGTTTGGTAGCCGAATGTAAAAAAGGAGTAACATCGTAAGTTCGCTCTACACTAACTCATCATCAGATTTGCATTATGTTACGATGAAATGATTGGATCGTAGTCAAATTACAAATTATTCTCCAGTTCATACACTTACCATCTATGTTCCATTCATTTTTGTTTTGTCTTATGATCTGGCTGTACTTATAAAACGCGCTTACGGGGGATATTGGCTTTGTTTCATATTGTATCTTCCACCTTCCTTTGCTTTTACCCTCATTTTTTTTTCCAAATTATACAATCAGATTGAAGTCACGAGGTTTTTTTGACGCGGGTAAACTGTTTATTGGTGAATTATTACTTGTACACACCCCAGAATACATCACCGGTCACTGTTTGAAATAATGCAAAAATATTCACAGAAAATAGAACGCAATGAGGCACATTAACGAACGCTAGGACTTCATGGAGGAAGTAGATTTCAGGGGAGTATACATTCTGTTTCGAGTTTTTTAGGGAAGTGTAATTCCAGCAGGACAAGTTTCTTCGCAGTTCGTTCAAAGCACTGCATTTCAAAAAATATTTGCATTTTTTAAGACCACATTCTCTCCACTCCGATTGTAGGAAACTATGAAAAAGAAGATGCATAATGTGAATCCAAAGGAATAAGGATACGGAAGATTCCAAAATTTTTGTGAACCATACGGAGTTTTTGGACTCCAACGACATATACATAGCACAGATAACAAGTAAATTTTGAGTTAACATCAATAAGTAATGGAATAAAAACAAAGCAAACATTTAACGAAAAAATGAGGTAAAAATTTGATAAAAATGATGCAGCACTTCATTCATAATACAACACAAGGATTTGCAGAGCACCGTTTAAGAGAACGGAAAAACAAGAGAAAGAGCTCTAAAACAATAAGTTTCACTTGAAGATTAAATTTGCATGGCTGTGTGGAACAAATATTATCTATCATTCTCAGGTACATCATCTACACGTCAACTACCTATTATGATTGGTAACGAATACAGGCACAAACACTCTGCAACTCACAACAAAGCTACGATTTCTCACGGCATGAACTCGCTTCAAAATAAAATCCTCGCCACAAAAATTTTAAAGATTGTTAACCAGGATAATTCATCCGCTCACTCATAAATCACTATTTATTATTATTACTATCCTAATTACTACAAATCCGAAGGAATAAAGGTTGTTTTTTTTTTTTTTTTTTTTTTTTGGGTAGTTTGGAAATTCTAAAAATTTCAGAAACATTTTAAGAATTAAATTATTTTCATATGCGGCAGAAGGAACGGTTTTTTTTTTTTTTTTTTCTTTAAACTGAACAAACGAACGAAGCTAACCTGGATAAATAAATGAACGAATGGAAGCAGAGAATGATAAAGAAACGGGAAGAAAAATAACACAAACTGATAGATTAAGTAGAATACGAATATGTTAAAAGAAATAACTCAAAAAAATATGACACTGGTCCCAAACATTATGCTGCCAGAAATCGAATGCTTGCTAATCAGCGCGGTCCTGCGCATCTAATTACCTAAATAGTAAAAATGAATATGTCAGGAACTCCCACATTCTTAACTAAACTATTTGCAGAATATTACTTACTAGTTTTTCGTTTGTCATTTTAACCTTGAAAATTTACCAGAAGTTTTTTCGTTAGAAAAATAATGAAAAAATAAAATATGGTGTTCAAAAGATTAGCGCAGACTTCCAGATTTCTTTTGAAATGTGCGAGAAGGCAAAAATATCTCAAAATGCAAATATTTCTAATCATATTTTCTCGGACTTAACAATTCAACTCATGAAAATGACATAAAAGCATCGAGAGACAGAACACCTAAAGCATACTTCACCTCACAACCAGGACAGTTCATTTTATTATGACATTCAGTTTCTTCTTTCGTTACCTTGCAATGTTAAATAGTGGGATAAAATTCAACTGAGTTGTTCAGAAATTCAAATTCAACTAAGAAATTCAGAAAATATTCCAATAAAAATACCTTTATATCCAGAAGGAGTATCAGCGATTGATGCTAGTATCTCTGCCACCTCCAAATCATTCGGATGTCGTTCCCGACTGTCCCCGCTACCACCACCACCATTGCGCTGTGTCGTTAAATCACAGGGCTCCTTCTGTACATTCGGCACAGGTGCCGGTGCAGCGTTCTGAAGAGTAGGCGTAGAGAGTGGATTCCATAATGAAGTGGTGGATGAAGTGGACGGCCCTATTGGACTGGATTGAATAGCGAGCAATCGCATATAATAATTCAACCACTGATTCGTATTCAAATTTAAGTTATGAGTAAGAACAGAATTAAGTGGAAAAGTTGTTGGGAAGGAGTAATTTGGGAAAATAAATCGGGACTGCGCCTCTTGAACGTTTTGATATTGTTGCTGTTTACCATTTGTTGGGGCAACTGGATCTGATGGCTGTGGCTGACTTTGCGCTACCGAAAAACCCGCAAGCACTTTAATGTAATTAACGTAATTAGAAAGATACTCTAACGACATGGAAGAGGCAGACATCTGTTGAATTTTTGACTGGTACTGTATGTATGCAGCAGCTTCCAGCTGCGAAATTATCATCATCGAAGCGGCATTTGATAATAAAGGATTAAAATTCGGCAGATTCTGTGAAGTTACTCCAGTAACAGGTGCATTCACCGGTTGGGTTGATTGTATGGTGTTTAACATGTCGGGTTTCGCCAACAATTGTTGATATAATGCTACAAGTTCTGCGTTTTGCATTGCTGTAGCTTGCCAGTTGTTTGCCTGTTGTGTTGTCGTAGAGGTACTTGTTTGCGTTTGCGAATTCAGACTGGTTCCACAGTTTGGTTGCAGCTGCGACAGCATCTCTCTGAATAATCTGTTTCGCAGCAATTCCGACTTCGCATAAGAGAAAATTGCTGCAAGCTTCAATTTATCCAATGCAGAATTATTTTCAACAGTATTAGGCTCAACCTGATTTCCATTTATGTTGTTATCAGTTTGGAACTGTTGCGCCAGAAAATTAGGATTAGTCGAGGTGGCAGTTTCTAACGTTATATGAGATGGAAGAGTCGGTACAGGATTTCCTAAAAACACAAGAGAAATAATTAACTATCAAAATTATCAGTACTACTGTCACCTGTTGGTTTCGAGAATTGATATACATTTGGTACCGACTGTACATCAACTGTTAACAGAATAGAAGAAAACCAAGTTAGAAGAGTTTTTCTTTTTTTTTTGTTCTCCAAAAAATTCTTAGAAATGACCTGTCCAAGTAGTACTTTCATTATTAGTTTGTGCAGCACCTGAAAGTTGTACACCAAATGTTTTCTTTTGCTCTGCCGCCTCTTTGAGCTTCTAAAAATAAGTATCTATAATTCATAAAAAAAGTAGCATGTTCTCTCTGAAACGTGATAATTGAAACTTGCTGTAGAAAAAGTCGTGTACTCGGACTTCTGAGCTTCTAACCTGTTGTATAATTTTAAAATATCAGAATAAAAGTTAGAGAGCAAAAATTACTTTAGTAACTCTATGTTGTTTTCGAGCAGTAATATCATTGGTGCATGTTCGTTTTCGCTGAATTAGCATATCTGGCATGAAACCATCTCTGGATAAGCGCTGCATTTCCGGCGCATTCAATTTAACAGACTCATCAACACCATATTTTCGCACAATTGGTAGTCGTGTAAAAGAGCCACCCTGTTCACTTCCAACGACAACTTTGGCATCTCCAACGTAATTTTTGGTGCCAACGACTTGTTGTGCACCAGATGTACTTATGCGCTGCTGCTCTGGTCTTATGTACAAATGACCTGGTGTGACCATCATTTTTTCACTAATAATTGGCTCCACTAGTGATGAGTAGGTGTGATTTCGTCGTCTGTTAGAATGATGTGGCTGTGCTTTCTTCCTATTAGCCTTATGATGCTGCAGCTCATTTGAACTGCTCAACATAAGATTCACTCCACTCTGACCTATTATAGTTTCATTTAAATAGTGATTTGAAATGATACATTTGCATTAGAGTTTTTAATCGTAATCTAATATATCACAAGCTTATCCATTTGCAGAGAAATTTGACATAATTCTTATTGCTAAGACTGTTAATTTACTCTCATTTTGTATAATTTTTAAACATAAATTCACCCTGAAGCACTTCTTGAACAGGTGTCGTGCATAGACTATTTGTTCCGTTTTGGGCGTACGGAGCGATAAGATGCAATGTATTAGAGCTTAATGCCTGAAGTAGGAAATATAAAGTTATCGCAAAATAAAATCAAGAAATAACGTTTACAAATTTACTATTTAAATCTAGAAATGAAGTGTTCAAATGTAAAATTGCTAATCCCTCCTAGTTTCTCCTTAACAAATAGGAAAATATGATCAAGAGACACTGTTCTTTGAATATTTCATAGATACGTTCATCGTGTGAATAAAAGAATTATAATTTCCATAATCACAAATACCTCCGGCAATTTGTTGATATTGACGGACCGATATTCCGGTGCAGAAGGACAGATTTGAAGACGAGAGCGTCCATCTTCCACAGACTGATGAACTTTAAACGTTCCACCGCAAGAATGAAATTCTGTTCCTGATACGTCTGTAGCTAATATTAAGTTTAACCAACCAACTAATGGCTTAAGCAAAATGATTTCATGAATAGAACATCAATTCATTCAGAAAATCTAAGCAGAAAAAGAAGTGTATTGTCCACTGTAAATTCAGTCTGATGAAGAGCTCGGAACTGTATAATGGTTAGTGAGATAAAAACTTGTTGTAAATATCAGAAATTTAACAGTACAGCAAAAAATAAAGAAAATACTACATTCATGTACCATCATTATTGAGGAAATGATATTGAGCAAAAGTTGCAACTTTGGTATTAAAGAAATTTAAAATCGAAGTCAGGAATTTTGCGGCAATAAAACTAAATGCTGATACTTACTTTTAGGAGAACGCGGTGCGCTATGTTCAAATCCCACTTCTTCAGTTAATACTTTATTATCCTGCATCGGGAATACAGTGATATCCTTTTTCAAACGAGGATTATTATCTAGAAAGAACATCAACTTACTCTCTTCGGCTAAAAGAGTGGAAAGAAGCTATTAGAACCAAATGATAAGTTCCTTAATACAAGATAAATGAACTCTGCTATGGTATGCAAGAAGATCAAGAGTAAGGAAAATAATATCGGACAGAATGCAATGTACTGGGTACAATCTCGATTTATTACACCAGGACTGACAGAATTGAATAATCCTTGCAGTCTGGTTGAAATAAATAAATTAGAAGAAATAAACAGGGAATTTCAGTTGCAAGTTAAAGTCAGCTAACAGATTTTATCTTTATCAGGCAAATGTTTCTTTTTTTTTTTTTTTCTACTATAATTATCAAAAACAATGAATATCACTACAGAACAGTGCGATCTTTACGCATCGTATTACTATCATTACAAGAAATGATTATGACAAATAGAAGTTGTGACTTGGTCACGAAATAGTTTCGAAATCTCTCAGAAATCATGAAATAAATTGAAATTAAATATTAAAGTGGAAAAAAAAAATAAACGATGGCAAGATATGTAATGAGGAATTGTTCAAACTTAAAGTTAACCTGGAAAAATACAACTTTGTGGCTGGTGCAATGGAAACAGTGATTCAGGAGGCGAAAATTGTATGTTGGTAGATGGATCTATACCTGAAAGACGACTTGTTGGAACAATTAAACTGAAATGAAAATAGCATTAAAAACCAAACCGTAGATCACGAAAAACCACAACAAATACTGTCCTAAAATTAACAGCACACCACAAATTCTAATCCCATCCATTCGCCGAAGTAATCGTCCTCGACGCCTCCCATCTCGAAACTAATCCTCATAGATCCAATCATCCCCACACCAGGCTTTATGCAAATTTCTGTACAAGAAATATAACAAAAAACATGGATGTAGAAAACAAAAGACGTCAGCAGCAATATGCAAATTCTTATCGAGAAAGGAACAACACAAATAGGATGAAGAAAATGACTTCAACACTTTATGCAAATTTTCGAAAATTACCAAACCACAGGCAATAGTGAGAAGACGGGAATGTACTCAAGCGTTTCTTAACAGACTTGAACTTTATTACGCAGATTTAGGGACCAAACTGAAAAACACCAGAACGTGCATTTTGATAAGAATTCCCCAGTAAATTTTCCATCTCAACACAAGACCTCCTGCTTTGCTTCGAATGATCTTTGTATTCTCCAACAAAGAGTAATTCTCGCATGAAAACTATCCATCTGAGAGTCCCAACCTTACTCATTGTTTTATTATGTAATTGAAGAATTGTATTAACCACAACCGAACAATCGTCAATTAACGAAGAATTTCGCATAGCAAAAAAAAAAAAAAAAAAGCAAAAAACCAGAATACAATGTATCATTCCATGTTTAATAGGAAATCAAGAAACCTTCCTGATAATAGCGTGAAATGATTACAATTAAAATCACGGACATTTTTCGATAAATTTGAGAACATTGGTAATATCCTTCTCTTCCACAAGAACAAAAACAGTTCAAAGATGTTTACAAAACTCATACCTGCAAAATAACTGGGAATTCTACCACTTGCATTCATTTTTGTATTGTTGCAACTGATACTATTACTGTTGCTGATGATGCTGCTACCACTGCTGATGGTGGTGTTGCTATTTCCATTGCTACTACTACTATCACTACTGAAGAAGATGCTGCTATTATTACTATTGCTACTATTGTTGGTGCTACCGTTGCTCGATACCAACATTTCCTCACACACTTCCGCGTCAGCAATAAACTGTCGATCAGCGGTATATGAATCTGTTTCAATCCTTTCTATTTCGGATGCTAAAACTTATCTCGATTGTGAGATAAAAATTATGCAATATTAAAGCTGTAACAAATTGTCCAAAAACTATAAAAAAAAGACGCGTCTGCAGCCAGCTAATATAAATAAACTTATAACAATCACCCTCTTGGAAGATCAAGCCATAATTTATGCAACCATCCATAACTCATGGAACTAACATCAGATTTAAACAAATCCAGTAATACGGATGCATCGTGTCATAGCTTAACCCGATATATGCGCATCTATGAATCATGATGAAAAAAATTTGGCGAAATTATGGAAGTGAAATTGAGGCTGCCAAATTACACAAATTACTTGTTGTTCTGTGCACTTAATTTTAGGCAGTAACTCGCATAAAAGACCACCCATTTTCTAAATCACAGACACAGAAAGAAAAACAAAACGACTAAAAATACGATTACTCTGAAAATTGGAAGTTCAGTAACGCACCAAATACAGGCTTCACTAAATTTCTTAACATCGAAATTACCATGTCATCATTATCTAACGAATTGCCGTAGTGATATTGAAATAACATATTAATATCATTAATGCCACTGCAACTTTTTAAATTGTTGCTAAATTAATCTAAAAAGAAACTGACTTTCCCGTGACTTGAAATAAAATCGGTAAAAAAACATGAATACCTGCACAGGTCATGATGTTGTCAGATTTTGGACCACTGTTCATTATAAGATTCGAGAATCTGCAACAATATTAATATTGGGATGCAGATAATTTCAAAAGCGAGAAACAGGAATATGACAAGAAACGCAGTTAAACAGAAAAAAAGCCGCAATTTCGATGCTTTGTAATAGCAACAAGTAACGAGGAAAGCAAAGAACAAGGCTACACTTTTTTTTCAGTAAAACCAGTAACTGGTACCACAAAAGTTACTTACTTGTTACACTTTAATGATTTTGATTTTCTTTTTTTGTAAACCAATTCGATGTTACGTAAAGCAGATGATTCGATCTTCCAAAATGAACCTTTACCGGGTCCTTCCTGAGAACGTGCGACCTGAAATATGTTTCAAATCTCAGATTTTCTAACACTTTCTTTGAGCTATGTTAAATGTTGTTTTACTCTTGCTTCTCATTAACTGCATTTGACTGGAACTTGTCGGACAAAAAGACAAATTGGTTAAAATTACAGCAGAAATTACAGAAGTTATAATTTAGTTGAATGAAATGTAATATTAATGTTGACCTTACCTTTATGAAATATCGATTCAGTGAAAGATTATGACGGATTGAATTTCGCCAACCTTTATCTGTTTTACGATACCACGGATAACGGCTTGTGATATAGTTATAAATATCTGACAAAGTTGTCTGCCGATCTGGTGAACTCAGAATAGCTTGGACGATCAGCTGAGTGTATGAATATGGTGGCTTTTCATCCGAGATTTCATAATCTTCTAAAAATTTTCTTTTCGCAGTTAACTGAGACCAAGAATGTTGAATTGCTTCAAAATACCTTTGCAGTTTCGACCAGAATGTGAGGTTGACATTGATGTCGGCGGTCCAGTGTTGACACTAAATATATTCAGATTAGAAAACAATTGCAACCAAAAAAAAGGAAGTGCTTAGAAGGCATGTTTGAGACTCCTATGAACATATAAGAAAGAGCACCAACTGAATAAAAATTAAAGACTTAAAGTGACAGATCTTAAGACAGTAGTGCTACTGGTAATACAGAAGTTAAGCAAATTACAGTAATTAATGAAGATGTTTTGGAAGAATCAAAAAAAGTAATGTGAAGAAAACGTTTTACGTGCACAAATCAAAAAAGAAAACGGTACTCTGCTCCTGCAGAAGTCCCAGAAGGTATCTGGACCAGTTCGCTGTGTTCAGTTGTTGGTATGTTCGTGCATTCTTCCATATGAGGCTTATTAGACAAATAAAATGTTTTATCTGATTCTGTAAGAGCAAATGCGGTTCCCCTTTTTCTAGGTTCGAAAATCAGGGATACAGAACACTTAGCACTGATGCATCCATATTCATCTAAATTTTAATATAATTTCTCAACATGATTTCACTGAACACAAGCCCGCATTTAATTTGAAAAAAAAAAAAAAAAAAAAATGTGCTTAATCTCTTAGAGAAAGCCAAAACTTTAGTACAATTAATGTAACATTTCCTGCTGCTTGTACCTCAACCTCGGTTTATCAACTGATAAAACCTGACATCTAAACCCCCACCAAGACACGACATGAAAATAACATACCAGCCAAGGAAACTGCTGAATCTATTTCATTTCCTATTAGCTGAACGTTACAGTCAAGCGAATTCGCAGTGCCAGGTAGTGGTTCCACACCACGAAATAGTATAACAATATGTGTGGAAGGGAAATGAAAAATGCAGCTGAAAAATATGAAGTATAATTATTCATCGATAAAGATACTTTTGCTTGTTCATTGATATTATCTACTGATACATTATTTTCAACATATCAACTAACATGATCAACAAAGGGAATCTTCCACTTTGCTGTACCAATGAATATTTGGAGTTTGAATGATTTGATTAGGCAAACATTCCAATCGACTTTACGCTAATTATCGACCAGGTTCTTAACCTACCAGCCACTGTTCCTTATTTTTCTAAGACAGTTAGTTACCAGAAACATCCGAAATTACTGGTTTGAATAATAGTACTCTGTATTGCTTTACCCATTAAATATCCTTTGCATCTTCAATAAAAACATATAATGAAACCATATAAATCATGGAGCTTTATGATCAATGAATCCACACCTCAGTAAATGTTCCAAAAAATAAAAGTTGAACAAAATATATGCAGCATTAATATATGCGTCATATTTGCTTGTAGCAATACTTGTAGTAATAGACAAGAATAGGACAATTACGAGTTCTATCGTTATTGCAAATACTGCTTACCGATATTTCAGTGTTCCACTCAAAAATCCTCAAAAATCATCTAGCATTAAGTAACTTTCAGTTTCACCAATTTTACTTTTTATCAGCTACCCACTAAATTTTCCTCATTGTTACTACCCCCTCTCGTTTTCTCTCGCTTTTCATCTTTACCTCACCGGTTTACAACTAAGATTTTAAACGTGAAGAAACTAGTAATTGGAAGATCCAAATAATAGTAATTAAAAGGAACATTGGAAACATTTTCATGTCCAACCAATTATTTCAATTCCTCGGTTTTTAGTGATGAATCACACAAAGTCTAAACATTCAGAGAACTGAATAATGACTTATAAGAATTCCAAAAAATAATCATTTAGCACTAGAAAGGAGTACTGTAATTATGAATGGATGACAATTATGCTTACCAACAAACACCACTTGGATATTAGGTTCATTAATGATTTGAAAACTATAGAAACTTCTAACAAATTTAATTGTGAAATCTCTTTTCTTACAAAATGAAACTTTGAAAGAAACAACAAAAGTGATACAGCAATTTTCACAACTTCACAGCTGCTGAGAGTTAGAAAAGACAAATATTGGTGGGTACACACAAAAATTTCTAGTGTGATCAAAATTTAATGACAAATTTATGAAATTTTCGAAAGATTCCAGAATCTTTCTGCCGATAAAACTGTCAAGATCTTTGGATAGAGTAAAACTTCGATGCTGGTTTTAATTTTACTCAGTTTAGACTAGCGTGAAAATCTATGTTCGGTGAAACTTGTAAATGCACAGTGACCACTCAGCCACAGTATATTCCGAAGATATTCATCAATTTACAAAAAATTTATAAGAAACCAACCAAGAGACTGTTTAATCAATAATATCAGCATTATTGTTTATTAATAAAGGGCATAAGGTAACTTCAACTTTTGGTCTAAGCATTTTGAATTAAACCGAAATCTACAAAATGAGTAAATTCCGTTGGTTTACTCTGGAAAAAGAGTTAAACTTTTGAGCAGAAACTCATATTTCGAGAAATCACACATATATTAAAAATCAACGAAATATATGGATCTTATTGACCAAAAACCTGCTGAATCAAATGCACGATCATTCAGAAAAATGGCATATGACTGTATCCAGTACACAGCTGTGATAACAGCAGAGACACTACACAATATAACTGTATCCAGTACACAGTTGCGACGAACTTCAAACAACATTGCTATTACTGTTTCGGATAAATTAATACAAACCTAAATGGAATACTTCGAGCCTGTTCAGACTGTCCATACATAATTCCATTGATGAGCACACCGTTCTTCCCATTCACTTTGATATTCCATCTATTCTGTTGACCAGTATGGTACAGAATAATATGACACCTGCTTACGTAATTGCTTTCCTGAAATAATGCTATTTTTCTTCCCTTTATGAAAACTGCCAAAAGTTATTCACCACCCTCGTTCCTTCTCTTTCCCTCCCCAGTCAGCTAAACTCCACCTCACTTCACTACGTCCAGTATCATCATGTATTTCTGAATCCCTCACAGCTCATAAACACTTATATTGTTTCTTATCACATACCTACTGCAGAGCGATTGCTGGTTAAAATCTTGACAAAATTTCAAAGATATCAGGTTGAAAGTTAAACTGCCAAACTTTCCAAAATTTATTCACTCCAAATAAATAGTCTTTAGCGTGAAACCAATATAAAAATATGAAATTTTGGAGATGGAAGAACTGAAGAACGAAAGGGATTCATGGTTGGAGAATGGGAGATCAAGGATGTATTATACCTTATTTTCGAATGCTTGAAAACAACCAGTTATTATAAAATATATTAACAAAAAGAAGATCCAGGATTTCCATGAAATATACTAACCAATTTATAGCGTCATACTCCGATTACTGCTTCCTATAACAAGTTTGTAAAACGAACGGAATGTGGAAATGACCTGAACTACAAGATCTGTAATCGAATTTGCAGAGTCTCGGCCAATAATCACCACCTTCTTTGAAACGGCAAATGTTCCGCTAGGACCACGAATAAGCGCCAGTGGATGAAAGGCGGGCTCACCAATCCACCCAACCTAAATACAAATTTGCATCTCAGTTCCGAAATTTTCTGGTATATTTCGCGGATAGTAATTTGAAAAGGAAAGAATATCAATTAAAAAGCAAGCCTTTTTAGGACTGTTCTCAATATCTCTGAGCACAAGCAATTCACCAGATAAGTTATTACGGCGAATTTCCAATATTTCTCTTATCGGAGATACTTGCGTTCTAAAAAAGAGATACATTAAAATGAAAAGACCTGTGAAACCTTTTATCCGAAAGGGATGCAGGAAAATCTCAACTAGCATCTTATACGGAAATTAAAAACGACTTCCGGAACAGACAATTAGAAATCAACTTTGAAATGATGTTAACAAATGTTTTCCTTTTCAATACGATCCATTTGGTTTTCAAAAATTCATTAAAAAGAAATTTCGAAAAAAATATCAGCTACGTGAAAAAACCAAAAACAATTGATCAAAACGTTATTTACACGCTAGGTGAACATAAAGTATTCTACTATTTAAAAAAGAGAAAAAAACTGAAACGTAATCAAACACTTCGATGATAAACAAAATTTTTAAATGATAATAATAACAACAGTAATAATGCAATAATTAATAATATGGCATATAAATTAATAATAGTAATAATAATGATAATAACAATAATGGTAGCAATATTAATGATAATAATAATAATAATATTAATAATGATGATAATAAGAATAATAGTAATTAAAATGACTGGTAATAATAAATAGCAATAACAAAAAAAAAAAAATAGTAGCAGTAATAATAATTAGTAATAACAATGACAATTATTATATTATGATAATAATGACAAAAAAAATGAAAATAATAATAATGACAATAATGAAAACAATAATAAATAGTAGCAATGAAAAATAATGACAATAACAGCGATAATAATAGTAATTAGATACCGAATAGTAATAATAAAAATAACGATAATAATAGGAATAATGACAATATTATTGTTATTATTATTATTTATTGTTATCAGTTATTATTATTGTCATTATTATTAATAAAACAAACTTGAAACTTACTCAATGTTTGATTTACCCGTTTTGAGTGCTTCATGCTGACGATTAACAACAGAATTTATAACTGCTTCAGCAGTGCTAGATGTTCGATCTGCTAACATCAATGTCGATGTTAATGCTTTATTGCACATTTCATTTCCAGATGATAACTTTTCAAGCTTATTGCTTCCACTCATCTTTGCAATACAAGTTAAATATTCTTTTGCAACACCAGCCACAGCACCTAGTTTATTATCTATTGTATTACTTCTCGTCATTAAGCAAAAAAGACCAGAAGTTTTGAGCTTAAAAAAACCATGCTGAAATACACACATCAGTAATAATTAAAAACAATAAAATGAATCATCGGATTCACAATTAACTGAACCTGAAACAAAAACAAATAGAAATAAAGAAAAAAGCATACAACTTTATGAAATAAGGGTATTAATTATTACTGAGCACACTTATATTTGCAAAAACTTAGCATGCAAAATCCTCCCCAAAACCCCAACAAAACAACCACAAAAATACAAACGCCCACCAATTAACCCAATGATGAACGCAACAATGTGACCGTTCCAAATTCTGAAATAAACGCAAAATAGCGCGTTTCAATTTGTTACGTCTTTTCGCAATATATATTCCGTTAGGATACGAAATATAATGGTAGTAGATGAGGACGCTGGACGATGCTAGCACGAATGATACTTTCAAGTTTGCGCATGGTATGGCATAATGCAAATGTTTCAATGATATAGCATTCCTATTTTCATTTCCATTTCCAGTATTCACCTCTTGTGTTATTATTTGAATTATTCATTTCCGATTCTGCAAGTCTACTATTTTATCTTCTATTTTGACATCGAAGATTTTGAATTTGTCCGTTTTGAAATTTAACTCATTACTTTTAAATCCAAAAATTAAAATTTAAACCATAAGTAATATTCCCAGTTCATTATCCTTCTTTTTTTTAATCGTTTTTTTTAAAGGTTGTCTGTTGAAAAGTAATCTTTTCTAAAAGATTGCCACATGTACGTGTTACTTGATGTAATAATGGTTTATGTCTCGTTGTGACATAAACAGTAAAATGAATTATTTTAGGTTGGAATAATTACTTCAGCTGTTTTTAAATAAATAGCTATGATAAGAAGGTGTAGGTGTTATCAGCTGAACGCTTGTGCATCATAATAAATTGGTGAAGAGACAACTCGATGCAACATTTTACTTTATGAATATGTTTATTGACCGCTATTTGTTTCATTTTTATTTAATATCATTGGTTTCTGAATTTGATTCCATAATCTTTCAAATTATTCAACAATCTCAGTTAATTTTTATTTTTGAAAATCTATTTTTTGATATTCTATTCAAACTTGAATACATCTAGATTCTCGTCGTGAGAAAAAGTAAACTTTGATATGACAAACAAAAAAAAAAAAACTTTTTTAAATTTATTTTGATGGCAAAGACACTAGGATTTTTAGTGAAATATTTTCCAAAATATCCGTTTATCCATTTAGGTTTTATTCATGTTTAACAGGCCGAACTTGTTCAAAGATTCCATTATGCACACCACTTAGTTTATGTCCATAAACCTAGACGATATTGTATTTTTATTGAAGTGCAGTAAAATTAAGCATAACTTTTAGTTTACTTAGATATAACTTCTCAGTAAAATATAGCCAATGAGAAAAACAGTGCAAGCATGAAACTTAATCAATCTACTTAACAAATTGTTCGGCAAAATAATTTGTGCTTTGAACGGTAGATGCTTAAGATAGAGTGTTAAACATATCAAAAAGGAAGTGGAAATTTTTCGAAATAATGTCATTTAGAATTTAGCAGATGGTATCAGAAGCACAATAGTTGATGTTCGGGAAGCTTAAATAGAGCACAAATGCACATTGGATAGTTTATGCCATGGAAGTGAATCATGTAGAAGGATTTGGAACGTAACATCACAAATAGTTCGGAAAACCGATATTAGTTTGACATGCTTCCACTTAACCGTTAAAAAAATATATACTTATTTGCTGCATAATTTCTTCATTGCTATTTGTTTAGATCTGCTTAAGATTTATCTCTGTGACCGCCATTCAGTCTATTGCGCTATCATTTTATAAATAAATTTACAAATCTTGTCAAAATTATTGTCATATATATAAATATGTTTTGTTTCAACCTATAACAAATTTAACATGAATTTTCGAAATTTTCAATAAGATTCTGCATTTCCAAACAAATCCTAAAAAGGAGTTGTACAAAATAAGATTAGAAGTAAATTCCTTATGCTGTTAATGGATATGCTTATTCAATTTCTTTGTAAACATTCAGAAACTTCGAATAATTTCGTGTAAGATAGATGTAACTATAAACCATCCTGGGAGTGCTGTCAGTGGTACCAAACACGGAGTTCCTTTTGTTGTTGTTAATATACTTATTCCTGTTACTCCTGAAATAATAATTCTTAATTACCATAAAAATTTCAAGCAAAAAATTGGACAATTTTGTATTGAGTGCAGGATTTACCGAGCATATAATTAGAACTTGTCCGTTAAATTAACGATTATAGAACTTTGATGCATGCTATACGAGAAACATATTAGATCGAGCTAAATGAGACTGAAAGTATTTCTATCACTATTAATTGATACAGAATCCTCTGCATCCATATCAGATATCTTGAAAATTAATGGTGTTTAAATCAGTAGAAAAAGAAAAAACCAATACTTGCCAGGTGTTTTTTCTCTTTATGCGGGCCACTAAGCTTAGGATGATTTTTTTCATCTCTCACAAAAGAAACCATAAGTGAAAATGAAATTACAGATTCTGATTGAATGTGTAATAATATGAAAGCTGACATTTGATTCTACGGCAACAAACTCGATTTGATCTAACAATTAAAAAAAGAATAAGGACAAGAGTGAGAGCGAAGTTTGCAACAAAGTACTTTTTGAATTGCAGTGGAAAGTTTTTGATCAAATATAAGACTGTGATGAGGTAAGCATGATCCCATTCTTTACTACATTGAATTCAAGATTAATGAGGAAAATCTAAGCTGGAAATATGCAACACTATTTATATGTACACTCTGAGGGATGTTATCTTAAAGACGGAAATTTTAGAAACCGTTTATTTTATTAGTTCGGTCTTAGAGTAAATGTTAAATGCATTAAAGCAAAATTTAAAACCATCTCCAGTATCGATTGGAGGAGGCATCGATGTCATTTCTCCTTCTGCATAGTTTTTCTGAAATGAATAAACAGCACATCTAATCATAGGAAAAATGAAATACTTCAAGATCTAGAGCTTTTCAAAGTCTTTTAGAGATCAAAATTTTTAAATGCGAGCTTAAAAGAAAGTATTACCGATGTTGTTCAATTAGTTGAAATTGAAAGTAGTAGTTAACTTACCTGTAATTGAAAAAAAATAAGGAATATTAGCAAAAAATACGACATTGGCTCTGAAAATAGAATAAAAGGTTAACCTTTTCAATACTTCGTGCATTCTTTTTTTAGCTAATTGTTCAAAATTTAATTATAAAATTTTCCTGGTTTTCTTGTTTCCTGAAATATTGAAATAACGGAAAAGGCTAATTTTTTGCAATTTTGAATTTTTATTGAAAATTAGAAAATGAGAGACTGAAAAGAATTAGTGTAAGTTAGAAATTTAGATATCATCGTTACTGTTAATGAATGGTATAACCCTTAGCAATGAACAGTACCTCCTCGCACCTCATAAAATTTTACCTCATATATATAAACATTTAAATGTTGATTAATAGTATGTACAAAATTTGAAAAAAAAAAAAACGTTTTTAAATTAAGTTGTTAAGGCAGAATAATTAGTGAAGTAGGAAGAAAGATGGAAGATTGAAAAGGAGGAAAAGGCAAGATGAGGTAAAATTTTATGAGGTGAAAGGAGGTACTGTTCATTGCTAAGCAGGATTGTGGACAAAGAAAGAAGGATGAAGTGCTTTATGTAGTAACCAGAAAACTTTTATGTTTTATCACTATGGTAACCGAATAATGAATGAATTCAAATAAGTTAGAAATGTAATGAAATTGATCAGCTTATTTCCGAAGAGAAAAAGTTGATTTTTATAAAATGATTGAAGACAAAATATTCCCACTCGTTTTTTTTCCGTCAACAATGATAACTATCTACATTTCAAAACTAAAATAAATTTAAATAACTTCTATTATATTAAAAGTTAGTAAGGTAAGGAAATTTTTGATGCTAATTAAATTTCAACCATTTTCTTTTCATATTGCAAATTGTTGCAATCAGCTTGAAATATGTGAAGAAAAAGCGCAAGTTTATCAAATGTTTAGATTATTCTTGGATCCATTTGTCAAATAAATTATTCATTTGAAGAGGCATGAATGAATGCATTTTTATGTTTTCGTAATATCGCACAAAATTTGAACAACAATAAAATTGTAAATTTTAAACTTCAAAATTATGACAAAGTAAAATACAAAAAATATCAGAAACAGGTTTATGCATATTCTGCGATTTTATTCATTCAAAAAAAAAAGATTTTTTATTTTACATCTCTACTTAAATATGTTTATATTTCCTAATATTTTGGCGACTACTTTGATCTTAGATCATATGTTGTAAATGTCATAAAGTTAGACAAAATATTTTATATGAAGTAATTAAATAAATATTTTTCTTTGTGCTATTCAATGACAAAACTTGTTCTGGAACATTTGCAGGAATTGTTGCTTAATTTCAAAAATGCTTAATTATTCTAAATAATCCCGAACTAGTTTGCCTAAATATATTTAAGTTTTTCCAGGTCAAAGGTTTAACTTTTTTTATTCAAACTTAATTCTTCAACTTCTTGTTCGTGTGAAGAACTTCTTACATTATTTCTATCCCATGCAACAATTTATTTTTCGTTGTAACGGTTGTTTTTTGTTTTTATACATATAGCAATTATTTTTATTTTTATAATTCTAGGAGGTGACAGGAATGATGACAATGATTGTTTTTCTTTTCTCCTGGATCTTCTCGAAAGTAATATTTTCAACCATTACAATCAATTATGCACTTAACTCTTTCATGTTCGATAAATAAAATTCACTAAGTTGATGCATCTTAACAATCCTTGAATCTATTAAAATAAAAACGTTTCAAAGGGTAATATTGATAGTAATAACATCGAAAGAGTGAAATTGATATCAGTGAATGTTGAGCTAAAAGAATAAATGAGCAAAAAAAATGCAATCGCCCAAACAAATTAAAAAAAAAAAAAAACTGTTTATTTTGCTCTATTGCCCTGCATGCATTTGTTTGATCCATTATTCTCAATATCGTTTCTTGATTCCGAAATGGATCGATATCACACCTACGCTATATGATCACTGTATTGTGTATCCGTTTGATCATTCAATATATATATATATTTATTTATTTTTTGGTACTGCTAACTTCCAGAATTTTTTTTAATAAAACAAATTTGAGAAAATTTCTTAACATTTGCTTCTATTTAGCCTTAATTTTTATTGCATGAATAGAAATTTTTAATTAAAATGTGGAAACAATTAGAAAAAATATTTTATTCAATAAATACGTAACAAATATAAATTTTATATGTATTCTATGATATGAGAAAAATTGATAATATTAAAATGAATGGTTGCAATAAACGAACAGCAATTGGTTTTGTTTTAATGTAATAAATGTCTGCCTTTTAAATGTTATATTGATATCAATGGTGTATTAATTTGATAACAATTTGACAGGAATACAAAAATTTGCGATCTAATAGATTTCATTTGCTCAAGCAGAAAAATGCAGGAAAATGTATACATTAATTGTTCAATTGAATTTCAGATTTCCTTGAAATTATTCTATTAATTTTCTTGTATGAAACAAATTGGTATATTTGATAAAAATGTGGTAAGAAAAATTATACTGAATAGTAAATACTTCTGCATTACTGCCAAGTGAATTGAATGTTAACAGAGCAAAAGCTAATTTAACTGATCCATTTATTTTTTTCGTTTGAAAAATGATAATCGAAGTTATCACTTTTATTGATTGGCTAATATCATTACTAATTTTTGTTGTAATATTGAACCATTACGTCATTAACAATGACGTGAATTATTATGGAAAATTTTTTCAATCACTAAAAAAAAACATTTTGAAGAAGTAATAATCTTATACTGATTACAAAAAAGTAAATTTTTGAATTTGAAAAATTTCGAATAAAACTGGAGTCTTTAAAAATCAGAAATTTTATTGCATTAAAATTTTATTGATTTTTTAATTTGCTTATCAGAATAAAAGTTAATTTTACAGGATTGAAGTAAAAAATGATGTAGAAATCAAATGAAACAATAGATTATTCATGGTGAGATCGTTTTTTAAGAACTTTAATTACGAAAAACATTCTACGATTCGTTGACATTCTACGTCGAAATAAAATCAATCATCATTGACATCACAAACATTGTTGGCCACGAAATGATAAAACTGTTCAAAACTGGATCAGTACATCTCATATGACTGCATCACTTCAATTACAACAAAAATGCAAAGATAGGTCTTAGTAATCATCAGGAAACGTTCGATTAATAATCGATTAAATTCTCACATGTACAAAATTCTAGTAATCTCACTTTATCTCTTTCATAGACTGACAAATTTTTGATCATCTTAGATCGCTATTGCAGTTTTGGGGATTTAAAAAATGAACAAAAAAAATGGAATAAAAGACTGCATTATAATATGATCTACTTTTACTACGGATCAAAAATATATGTACAGTCACAATTATACTACTATCAAAAGTAAATGTTTATCAAAATTTAATAGTGGTACAGTATAACAGATTCTTTCTCCTTTCTCTTTATTTTCAGATAAATTTATGATGGGTAGATAATCCGTTGAATGAGGAAAAAAATGTATGATGTGCTAACAGTTGTGGTACAGCCTGGTACGATGTCATTTTTTTTTTATAATGAAAGAAAATTTAATAAGATTAGATGATGTAATTTCGAGTATATTAAAATACCATTAAGCATTTCTTGGTAATATTGGTTGGTCAATTATTGATGGTTGTTTGAAAGTGAAATGCATCTCACTGCGCAAATGTCACATCATATTTTTTGTTTAATGTTTACTTCTTCATTGAAATTTTAATTTGAGCATTACTTAATCAGTAACTGATAATTTTTCTGGATTTGAAAAATTTTATAAAATGTAACACTTATGTACAGTCTAAATCTGATTTGTTACAAATGATAAAGTGGATTTCATTAAAAATTATATTTAGGGTATTGTTTTTAAAATGGCCTATATGTGTGTTAGTAAGGATTTATATTATATTTAGAATTAACTTTCTGAACTCTATAGTTAATTTTATTTTGTCAAAGAGCAATTCCGTGTAACTGCAATAATTCGAATTTTATTTCAACGTTATTTTTTGACTGAACAATCGATGTTAGCTGACCGAGCAAAAATAGGTGACAAGAATCTCCAATAGTTTAGAATACATTTGAAAATTGTTTTTAAAAACATGGTAAGAACGAATTATCTTATTACAGATTTCAATTGGTTTTTACAGCATGAAATATTATAATGTTTAAATGAACAGTTTCTTGAAATTTTTAAAAGTAATTGTGGTCTCAGAGGTATCAATCGGTATTTTGTTGAAGTTTTAGACGCACTTTGTCAGCTAAATTAAAATATATTTTGTTTTTCCAAGACTAACAGCAAAGGATGATTAAAGACTTATAAATAGTATGATAATCTGTTTGTGCTTAGGAAAGGTTTTTAATCATTTTTTTTTTTTTGACAATATTTAATATCTGGATAATCTGTTTGTGTTATTTTTTAGACTAATAATGCCTTAGTTTGTTTTTCAGAAACATTTTGTATCTCTAAATTATCTACAATTTCAAGTATCCCCAACAAAAAAAATTTGAATTAAGTAATTTAAAGGTTTGCTATCTCACCTTTTTTGATATAAAATTAGACGGAAACAGATGATGAAGTGATAAGTGAAGACCGACGTTATTTATTTATACAACAAGCATTTTTGTTTTCTCATACCTGTTTGTTACCTAATAATATTTCAAGTTTTTATTAAAATTTTCAAGCATTAATTATTGAATGTTTATAAGTGGAAAAATTAAAATGCAAGCCTGCTAAGCACATTTTTCCAGCACTTTTCCATGAAATATTTATTAGATACTCTATAAATTTATATGTATGTTTAAAATAACTCAAATGGAAATAATATTTTGAATGAATTATCTGATTTTTTTTGAACTTTGAACATTTGATTTATGAAATTGAATTTTTGATTATCTTCATGTTTATAGCACATAAATAGAACTGACTGTCATTTTTTAATTTCTGAATAAAATTAATGAATGCATTATCTGAGGAACAATAAATTTTTTTTTCTCAATGTGTAACCAACCTGTATTCACTTAATAATTTCATTATGTTTACATAAGCAAAAAAAATTTACTGCCAAATTTTAAAGGAACTTCAAAAAATGAAAAAAAAAAAAAAAAAAAAGAAAGAAGCTCATAAATATTCAAGAAAGAACAATTACTCGTTATATGTCTGGTTCGTGATATATTTCAGCAAACGATGGTTCTCGGATAACATTTTTTATCATAGATTTTAACAAATTGTATCGTGGAATGATGGGTAAAAAACGTGAAGAATGAAAATTTGAATTCAGTTCTTTAAGTATTTCTCGAAGTTTTAAATATTTCTTCAATAATCTGTATAATGTGACATACATTCGATCGCATTCAGTTCGTAAATTATTTGCCGATAAGCCTGAAAATATGGCCAATTTTTATAGGTCAAAAGATTAAAGGAATAACAAATTGAAATGAAGTATTTTAAGTATAAAATAATAACTAAATCAATCTAATGACAGTTTAAAATTTTCGTAAATTTTGCGAAGTCAAAAGTATATCCCCAATAAGGAGTTTTTCAGAAATAGTTCAGAATTTCATTGTTTTTGGGGAATTTTGATATTTTAATTTCTAAAATTACCATACTTCTTTTTGTTTCGAACATAATTGTTTCTGCAGCGCTTTCTACAATTGTCGTTACTCCTAAAAGGGTGGTAATACCCAATGGCCGAGTTTGTTCCACTTGTGTTACATTCACTAGCTCCATTACCCTAAAATTAAGTAAAACTTTGTTTACAACAAAAGATAAGCTTAGTCAGTACTGAATTTAGATTAAGAAAAGTTTTTCCAAAAAAACAATCAATTCATTACAATTTTATTTAGTGGAATGAATTAGCGAAAAAAATTCAACAAAAAGCATTGACAAAACAACCGTGCTACATAATCATTGGCTGCTTCTGAAGGTTCTGGTGCAGGTATATTAATTAACTGCCAATACTGTTTGTCCAGGATTATCACCTGAAACATATATATATATATATTGTAAAAAATGATGTTCAAGTATGATTTATCTTTAAAGTAATAAAAAATTCCAATTTAAGTCCTGCAATTGCAACAAAAATTTCGGTGAAATTTTGAAACAGAGAAATAAGCATAATTTAATGAAAAGAAATAATACTTCACAAATCATCTGTTGCATTTGAATATATTTGCTGAAAATATTTCGTCCTTTTATGTGCATATAGTCATCATGTAACTTTTTAAACGCATTTTTCAATTTTCGATATGATTCATTAACTCGTTGCTTCGTGCAATACTGCTTGTAAACAATATTAAGCAAATTTTTACGTTTTGGGCCTAAAATTTCTGACGGATAATTCAAACAATTTGGTAAGTATCAAAGGCTTATTTGAAAGCACCATTTAAATGACTTTTTGAATGAAGTTTTGAGGATGAAAAATGTTGCGTTGACGGAAATGATTAAAGCATAACTACTTTAAAATATCCTTAAAGCTGTTAAGGGTGATATTTTGTTTATTAGGACGTTTTACAAAAACTACAGGTTGAATTAGAGCACAACTTTACAATGATTCTCCTGAAAGTAAGCCAGTAAACTTCTACATCTAATCTATCTGGTTTAAAACTTTATCATCATAGTTTGCGTGATTCATTAATATCTTCTAATCATTATTACATTATCACAATCATGATCATTCATAAGCTATATTTTATGAGAAATACGGTGTTCCTAATATTGGCAAACTATTTTTTTTTTCACTTTTTAAGAGATTTAAGAATTCTTAAACGCTCCTTTATTAAACACTTTAATTACCATTTCTGTTACATTACGCTAATTTTCTTAGTTTTAGCACTTAATTATATATAGATAGCTTACTTGCATGAATTGGCAAGTGATGAGCTTCGCCTTTTGCTAATGACAGAAGGACACTGAACATTCACCGATAATCGTAAAGTAATTATTAAATCAATGAAACATAGAAAAATAGCCAATTTTGCAATGTGCACTAAAATTAATTTTAGTTGTGTGACATTTAATAAAAGAAATATTTGACCCGAATTTACAAAGTCACAAAGTCTTAATCAAACTTCACAATTATTTGTTGTAAAAATTGATAGATCAATCAAAAAATAATATCATTTCTTAATATAACTGTAGCAAACTAATGAGATGATTCTGAGAGACTTAGCTAATTTCTCAGATTTCTTCAAATGAATTCTATTTGTCTATTTCGAGCATTTCTTCCACTTTCCATCATTTTTGGCTTAGGCTTTCAATTCATCATCCTTCGTAATTTGAATCCGTCAAATTTCTCCTTCTTAATCCTGTTTCTTTTAGCATATTAATAACTTATGTACTAGTGGTATGAAAAGAAAAAATATTTGAAAAATCATTTAAGAAGGAAGAAAAGAAAGAACATCAGCATTTCAATTTCAGCATGAATAATAACTACTAATTAATATCAATAACTATTAAATAATAATTACTAATAATAGTAATAATAATAGTACTACTACTAAATAATCATATATTTATCAAAATGTTTTTCAATCTTTCATTTTCTTACTGATATAAACAAAAACAAAAAGAAAAGAAAACAAGGATTGAAAAATAAAACGATGAAGATATTTTACAAACAAGAAAGAAACAGCAAAAAAAATTTCCTTTTCTTTTGGGATGAAACTCTTCATTGCTGATCTATTACATATATTCAATATATTCATGCAAATGTATTCAAAATAAAAAGAGAGGGAGAAAAAAAAAAAAAGGAAAGAAAGAAAGAGAAATGAAAGAAGTTGCTTGAGATTAGATCACAGAATTTGATAAGTACAACTTTCAGTCTTAAAATGTTAAGATATTTTATGAATAATGTAACACGCTGGTTAATGATAATCAGCTCATATCATGTAGATTTTTCTGGAAAGTATATATACCACCATTCACTCAAAATATTTCAAATTTAATCCACGAAATTAAAGCGAAACTTCCCCTTTTTTTGTGATTGTGATTATTATTCATGTAAATTGTACTACCATTCTCTTAAAATGAGGCCATTCATTTATCATCTCTTCATTTTGCACAGTAATTTTTTCAGTCAACTTAAAAATAAGAATTTATTTAAATGAATTAAATTCATTTAAAATGAATACTAAGTTTTAAAAAATTCCTTAATTTTCTTTTTTTTTTCATCAAAATGATTCGTGCATTTCTACCATGCAAAAAAGAAAAAAATAGTTTAATTTATCGTATAAGTGCTATGAGTATATCGTTGATTAACTTTTAGCAAATTAATCTTTAATCTATCGAAAGTGTAAACGATAAAAAAAGTATATAACAGATAACGATAACAGTGAAGCTTTAAAAAAAAAATTTCTTAACTGAGCCATTTGTCGAATTAAAATAAGCCTATGGAATGGCAATTTGAGCCTTAACTTAATAAAAACAATAGTAGTGCTTCTCTTTTTTTTTGCAAAGAAGAAAAAAAATAATTTAAATTATCGTTGAAATATTTTTTGCGTAAATATGAAAAGCATATATGACTATTTCATATATAAAATCTATATTGTTAATTTCGTATACGGTTACTATTTTTTTATATGGAATATTTAATTTAGACTAACAAAATGTTGCTAGTACAACAAATATGTTTACAATGAACTAATAATAGATGATGTAACACACATTGAAAAGTATTATTACATATGTCTCAAACTATAAATTAATTGAATTGATTAATGAAATGGTTGAAAAACTAAATCTTAGTACCATTGAATGAGTGCTGATACAGTCGTAAAAATTGTAGCCTAAAATTAAGTTTAACAATGGGAAAGCATTAGCATTTTTTAGTCAATCCATATTATTAAAATTTAACATGTCTTGCTTCTGCTATGTTTTATTTTTAAATCTAAAATTTTCTGACATTCACTAAACCTAAATTCTTACATAGTTTCATTTCAAACATCTATTTCTCATCTACTTATCGCATTTGGATGCATTTTCAACATTAATGGATTTTACAAGACAAAAAGAAAAAGGACATTTAACCAGGTGATACTTTAACCAATAATAGTAGGCAATAAAATGAAATTTAAGTTTCAATATAATAGAATTTGTAAATTTATTTAATTTTCACATGTGAATCAAAATTACTGTAAAATTACATTTCACTAAGTAACCAATTTCGAATACTACATATTATCTCCAAAATTTTCAGCTATAAGCAGGTAGTCATTACTTTAGGTTTAGCTATCATTTTGATATTATTTTGTATATTATAATTTGGCCAAAAAGAAGTGAAAATTTTACTTTTTTGAATATATTGAAATATCTAATTTCGCTTTGAAAATTTAAAAGTTTTTACACTCCTTTATGAAAAAAAAAAGATTATTTATGAACTGAAGAATTGAAATTATTTCATAAATTCTTGAAATTTCTTAACAGTGATAATAACGATAAAGGATGATTTCCATTATGATAAAAGTTGCTAGCCACTTGTTAGACAATAAAATATGCCATATGGAATGCAAATTAAAGAATGGGAAAAGGTAAAGTAAAAAGACAACAAATTACTTTTAGCTTTATTGAAATAATATTCGTTATTTCTTTATTGATTTCACAGGAGACAATAATTTATAAGTACTAACTGCACAAATTATTGCTGTGAAATTGGCATTCCATGTAAGAATTATCCGCATGCAAACATATCTGATTTTTCAGTCATTTTCGTAATTTATCTGATTTTATTTTAATGCCAAATTAAATTTTGTAATTGCTTTCGTTGTTATTCATTTTTTCCATATTTGTAAACTTATAGCACTTAAATATATGCTAGAGCAAACTTATACATGATTATTAAACTGAAAATTTCGTTTTGTTTCTTTATCTGATTATTTTGAACCACAAATTCTTTTTCGAATAATTTTATATTTGTGAAAGTAGGGAAAAAGTTGAGAAATTTCAGATGATTGCAATTTTTCTTCAATTAATTTTGAAATCAAATTAGCAATAAATTGAAACTAAAAATGACCCAATAAATTTTTTCTCAATTTTCTTCAGATAAGCAGTTGACTGAGCATTCATTATCAAAGGAGATGAAATTTTTGCAAGAGCAAAATAAAGCATTTCTAGCATTTACAGTAAAATTTAACTTAGCAAATGTAACTATCTTATTTCATTTACAGATTTAATCACAAATTTAAGAAATTGTAAGTTTACAAACTTTTATGAATTATTCACGAAATAAGTAAAAAGAAGAAGTGAAAAATGAACAAAATAACAGCAAGATATCTGGAAAAATTAATTAAAAATTTTTCCATTTCAAAAGGAAATTACAAAAATGTTAACTTGCTTAATTACTATTTCAAAATCAATGAAACACTTCCAAAACTTTTCGGGGAAAAAATGAATATCCTGACTATTTATGGTCACTTTAAAAATGATTTGGTTATTTTTTCTGAAGCTTTATTATTAATTTTTATAAGACTCTTTATTAGGTATAGATTTAAAGAAAAATAATAATAAGACATCCTCATGTGTATGAAAAATATCAAAATTATTAAAAAAAATATACATAATTAATTTTGTTTATTTGATTTCAGAAGGGCTTAAGTAGAATCGTCCATGGAGATTTTTTGAATATTCTTAGAGATGACTCGAAGTGATAGGGGGAGGTGATAGTTTGTGAGGTAGTCGCTAATTTAATGGAAAAGGTCGAATTATTTTGAAATCCAATTTTTCCAATTACCATTACTTACTATTTGCTTTCCTGTTTGTAGGTATGATTGAAATTTGAAAAGGTTAGTGAAATAGTTAAACAATGATTGTACAATAACTCATTTGTCTATAGCTATTGTTTTTCTCTGTTGCTTGATGAGAATAATTCGTTTCATGAAATTCTTCTCAAAATTCACTCATACACACACAAGCACATACATGCAATACAGATGATTTTTGATATAGACTGTGCAATTGGTAAGTTTAACAATTATACTTCTTAACAAAAAAAAAAAATTATACTTCTTTTAATGGAAATGTAGTGGATCGAAATTTGAAAAGTTAACATTATGTTAATAAAGATACATCTGAAATAATTATGTTGCACATATGGTGACGAAGATAATTGTGATTTCACTAGTGAAAATATAAATTTCACTTTTAATTGGTTTATTTACATTAATATTTATCATGTAAATCGGGAAAAGATTTTCGAAGAGATTAAAATTAATATTTATCTGATTGACGGCAACTGGAAATTTTCAGATTTCTCATAACATTGATTGATAAAATATCGTTGAATAATGATTAAATATTTTTTCGAAAAAAAAAACTGAAGTGCGAGGAAGTGAAATAAAAATTACAATATGGCTTTATATTTAGTAGCATAAAATTAGCCACATTTTAAGATTTGCCTTTTTATTATATATTTCAAAATATTGCTATCGTCTTATCGAGTAGCAAATTTTATTCTTAAATAAACAATCTAAATGAACAAAATGAACAGATCTAATACATATATATATATATATATATATATATATATATATATATATATATATATATATATATATATATATATATATATATATATCATTATTAAGTATGAAAGTGAGTTAAAAAACTACAAATAATTGGAATAATTTCTATGTCTAATTTTGATTTTCTTTAAAAAAAAATTTCAATAATCCGATTTTAATTAAAGTTTGCAATTTGAATAGAGATGGCAAGAAAGTGGAAAATAAGAACGATAATAAATAACGTAAATGCTGAGCCATTATGCAAATAGAAGATGCAAGGCATAAGTTGTTAGTAAATAGATAAGTGAAAATGGATTTCATTTTTTTTTTTCACAAATTTTAAGGAATAAAAATTAAAAAAAAAAAAGAAACTTCATTAATAGTGCGATGTTGCTAACACATCATTTCCTTCTTTCCTATTTGA